AGCATAGTCGTCTTAGGACAAAACACCTTCCCAATGACTCCGAGTGGGGTCACTGCATGGCGCATACAAGAACGGAATGGATCCTGCGCCAAGTGCATCATTTTCAATTTACTCCATCGAACTGACGCGTACAGAAGTATTTTGAAGGTGTTCAAAGAAGTTCCCTACTACGGCAAGGGAGTAATAGAGTTTTCGAGTGACTTCGAAAATTTCCTTGACATTTCCTCGACGCAGATTTCTCGCGAACTAGAAAGCGATCGAAACAACTGGAGCACCTATCAGAAAGCGTAAATCTTCTACTTTACAACGCTTTCCTCCGATTTTCAAAGCATTGCCAACGAAGACAGCTACTGCCTTTCAAAGAGTGGGAACTCGCATGTGAATTTCAATTTCCTCGACAATTTCTCGACGTTTTCCACTCTCGAGAATAGGCGTGCTTAGAAAAACGCTCAGCACAATTTAGAAACTAGAAGTCTCGTGCATTCAAAAGCTGCCTTCACTTTCTGAAACGGTTATCAATGAAGAAAGTTATAGTCCTTTGAATAGGGGGTACATTTGACGATTTTTCCAACTAGCGCGCTCTAGGCACAGCGCGCAACGCGATCGCGTTTAGTTAGCGCCGCTATACTGGAGCGCGAGACTGTTCAACTGTGTAGGGGCAGTACCTCCTTCAATGTTCTACTTTCCGGCCAATGTGGCAAAGGTTAAATGTCTTTAAAGGAAAGAAGGAGAACCTAATCTGAGCAGAATTGAATCTAGCATTTGGATCAAGCCGCATTTGCGTGGCAGCGGCGCTGCGTCCCTCTCGCACATCTGAAACTAGCATTTTTTGATATGAAACCGGATGTGCAGAGGACAAAAAGGGGTCGTATCAGAGTCCATGTTTTGGAGGGGGGTCGTAAAGAGGCGGTTATTTCCTCGACACGATTTTCACCCTGCTCAGGAGGCTCCCCCAATACGACCATACTCCTTCTATGTAGGAGAGGGGTGGAACAGGGTTTATAACTCAGAATTCTTGTGAAACATTTTAAACAATTTTATCAATCACTATGTTGGCGCAAATGCCACAATGATTCCTAATTTCAACTTCGCCGATGATGTGCCGAGTGGAGTTGCACTACAGCTTTCGAGCTTTTGATCTCCATTATTTCGGTAGTTTCTATCCACCTCAGAACCATATTCCAACTGTTTGGGTTATAGCTCCGCCAACGTCTGTGCATATCGCCTATCTCTATGCATGCCCACGCCTACCATTGCCAGATTTTATTCGGTTTTCTGTTTTTGGCTCCTCCCGCTTTGAAACGTTCCGCCAGCTGTGAGCCTCTGGCCTCCCCATTCACTCATCTCCATCCACTTTTTCTTGGCTTTATCGTCATCGAGTGAATTAGTGGTGGACCCGCCCACCTCAAAGGCATAAACCGGATCACACCATTGGACCAATCCCTCCAATCCCCCCCTGCGAACAAGGTTGTTGGTCCCACAACCGCAGAAATAGGACCGCTCTCGCGACTTAAAATATGTGCAAGGGCACTAAGAGTCCAGCAATTCCAACAGTGGATCAAGGAGCCATGCTCATCCACCGTTGCAGTACTTGCTGTCTCGTTACAGTAACTATTCCTGTTATGGTGCGCGCCATGCCTGCGTCGTACTTCTAATTTGCTGATGCGCGAAGTCGATACCGCTACAGCTTTCACCACTCATCGTCGTTCTCATCACCCCCCCCCCCCAACCAACCGCGTCCCTGCCCACCCAGCCGACCACCACCCCACGTGACAAATACGATCCGTCTGACACAAAATGGCAGTCTGCCTTTACCAACTCCAAGGCACATTTTGCCGCTTTTTTCTAGAATCACTGTTTCGGCGGCATATCGAGAATTATTTTCAGCAATGGTAGTCTTCTATACGAGGGCGCTCGCGTGATACATCCTTTGAACGTGGAAGATTTCGAAGGCGGTCACAAGCAAATTCTCACTGCTACTGTCCAGTCTCGATCGTTCGTGAACGTGTCCATCAATATTCGCTTCGCGAACTACGACCGCTCCCAATATATGTTGAGTGGGTGATCACCATTCACTCATGCCTTACTGTGAGCTTTAACTTTGTGTTACGGTAAGGCTAATATAATGTAAAGACGAGTGAGTGGATGTGTCGGATAAATATAGTCGATCTTTAGAGTTATACGAAAGCACCATTCCAGTTTTGGAATTAATTTGCTATCATCGAGCTCACTGCTGATTTGATCCTATTCAAAATGCCCACGATGTGGAGTGCGAAGCTCCAAACAAGCGCTCCTGGAGCAACAAGACATTTTCCCTGGGGCAATTTAATTGGTACGCGACCTCGAGTGATAGACCAAGTCAACTGTCAAGTTTTCGCATCAGCTAGCAGCCACCCCTCCCCCTCTCCTAATAAGCTCATGGTTCAGACCACATCCAAATGATATTGCGACTTTAAATGGAATGAGAATGCGTGGCGCATCCCAAACAAGGAATACCCGACGTCGAGCAGTCAGATGCTTTTCCACTTTTCGCCTCGTCTAGTTATTAGGTTGTCTCATAAGTAGTGGCGCATTTTTTCAAACGGAAATTTTTCTTGTGAACCTCTAATGTTTTACAATGTTTCATATACCATTCGATAGGAAATTATCTGCTCTACAAGAAGGTATGTACCCTTTTTTTGATTGTTGCAAATTGTTTGAGTTTTAGGCATGCAAAGTGGGAGCTTCAGACGACGAATTTTCGCCAAACCGACAGCTGACCTAAACTTTATACTTCCCTAGAAGAAATCAATCAATAATGTAACTATAACTTACTCATAACCTCTACTAAACATTCCACATTTAGGTTCCTAAAAGCTTGTCTCGTTTAATTTTGAGATTTAGTTATTCCAGTGCAACTCGGTGGTTGCCTGTCAACCCATAGGGCTTCCTTCAGACTGATATTTTCCATTCCAATTCCTCAGTATTGACGCTACTTTATACACCTAGGAAGCGTTTCTTCTGCTCTACTTACCCGCATGCAGAATTTGGTTTTGATTCAATCCTGTCGAGTTTCAGCATAGAAAATGGTGGTATGTCAAGTCGACGAAAAGGAACACTTCCGGCACCTTCTGCTGTTCACCTTCAACCAAGGATCGAGTGCCACAAAAGCCGGCAGGCAACCACCGAGTTGCACTGGAATAACTAAATCTCAAAATTAAACGAGACAAGCTTTTAGGGAACCTAAATGTGGAATGTTTAGTAGAGGTTATGAGTAAGTTATAGTTACATTATTGATTGATTTCTTCTAGGGAAGTATAAAGTTTAGGTCAGCTGTCGGTTTGGCAAAAATTCGTCGTCCGGACCTCCCACTTTGCATGCCTAAAACTCAAACAATTTGCAACAATCAAAAAAAGGGTACATACCTTCTTGTAGAGCAGATAATTTCCTATCGAATGGTATATGAAACATTGTAAAACATTAGAGGTTCACAAGAAAAATTTCCGTTTGAAAAAATGCGCCACTACTTATGAGACAACCTAATATGTTTCATGAGCGTGCTCCTGTTGATTTTTACATTGAGGTTTTTCGAACAGCTGCAATTTACTCGTTTTTAATACATGATGTTGGAATATTGAGCCTCGAAGGATAAAGGATAAAGGATAAAGCATTTGCCGTTGATCAATCCCTTTTTGGGATGCGGCACGCATTCTACTTCCATTTGTACATTCGTAGTGGCGTTTGAATGCGATGTGGCCTATACAATGACTTGCGGGGGCCAGCCGATGTACAAGTCAGTGTTTTTATCCTCCCAAGTCTGGTACCAATTAACCGACCCCGGAGGGATGGAAGGCTTGGTTGGCCCGGGCGACTCACGACCCAGGCCGCTCGCGTGGTAAGCGTGCCACTTGTCACTACACCACTTCCGCCCGAAGTAGCCTCGAAGATGAATAATCTAATATGACGGTTTACGTCTCAAGCCGCTGTTCAGGTTGCCTTCCCACAACTCCCAGAATGAGGTTTTTGAATAATCAACGTGTGGGATATGTCCGGCCACTTTCCTATCGCCTCACTACTACAGGTTGATGCCTTTCGCTTATCATTTTCAGAAATTGCTAGGTAATTTTGGTAATTTGTAGCAGAAATCAAGAATCACGGCTGCACTCGTTTTACTACCGTGAAATCTTTCCTTTAAGGTGCCCAAGTTCTTCGCATTTTGGTCGAGAGTGGAGACAATTTGTGTGCACAGATGGTCGTAACGAAAAGTGGAGTAAGTATCAGATCGGACTACCCAAAGTCCGAATTTCGAGTGGAATTGAATGTATCATCTAAATTATGTAATTATTGGGTCGGCCACGACTCGTACGTCATTTTTTAACTCCTGGTAATATTTTCTTCCACGTGTGGTAATATTTTCTTCCACGTAGTAGAACAGGCAGCCCATCGGCAATCAGCTGTAATTATATTTCCCCAGTTAGTAGAATAGAGTCAAGCGGGAGGGGGAGCGGAGGGACCATCTCCGCTCCTTCTCTCCAATTTTACGGTCATTTTTATCTATTTATTTCATAGCACACAGTAATATGTAATAGCTGCATTAATTCTATTGATCAAGGCGAATCCCTACGTACGCGACATCGAACACGGAACAAATAATAATGAGGTACTTCGCAAAATGGAGTTCACACACCGTCTTGATCTGGTGCTATACAGAGAAGATGTTCCTCAAGTCTTACTGATGTTCATATTTGTCTACTCGGATGATGTGCGATGTGATCCAACAGCAGCTGGCCGTAAGATTCCTTTAGAAAATTGAAAAGTTTGGTGACAAGACGTGCATTTCTTAGGGACTCCTAACAACCTGAAGTTATTCAACATTACATGGATTGCTGAAGATGGTCTCTCCCTTTTGGAACCCATTTCTGCCTCGATTGCTTTCTATCTGGTGCCCGTCGCCTCTGCCCTGATATATGCGTGGGTGGTGGACCTCAGGTAAGCCCACTTCCTTACTTACTTACTTCTCGACCGCTATGGGCACGCCAGGGACGTAAGTTGCACATCTTCGATTCCGTTCTGCTGAGCTCTGGCCGTACAGTTAGAGTATACCCATCGGGGGGAGAGGGTCTGCCTCTGGGCCTTGTTTCCCCTTGGGTACCAGTCAGTCACTCTCTTCGTCCAGCGATCATCGGTGAGTCTAGCCACATGACCGGCCCACCTCCGCTTGGAATTATAGATGGCATCGACGACGTCCTTCACCATCGTACGAGCGCGGATGGTGTCATT